CTCTGGAACTCCCGACTCTACGACCTTGTGAGGGCGAGTTCCGGAGCGTAGCCAGAGTAGAGTATCTAGGCTGTGTAGCTAGGCTGTGTACCTAGGCTGTAACAGAGTATCAGGACTGTTGGAGAGTTGGACTGTTGGAGTGTTGTATTGTAATAAAGAAGTTACCTCTACAAGTGTCTCCGGAACCCGTTACATTTGGCGTCAGAAGTGGCAATGGAGACAAGAGGTGAGCCACGTACCTTCAGTCCTGACGGCGATGTTGAAGAGCAAGCCGCGACGGGGCAGCCAACTCGGGCCGACAACGACGCTGCACCGCCGGCTGAGCAGTCGTCCACCACACCTGCCGATCCTCCTCCAGCGTCGGGAGCAGCAATGGAGGAAACGCTGCTTCGCATCACCGAGCTGCTCCACGCCACCGTCTCCATCCTGGACGACATGCGTCGCTCACAGGCGGAGGCAGGAGGGAGAGAGGCGGCGCAGCGGCCACGCCATCCCGCCGGCTCCCACACAAAGATGGCGGCCGTTCCCGCCGCAAATACATCCGGGTGTGTCGTCACTTCTGCCGGGGGAGCAATGACCGCTGGGAGCGACGTCACTACCGGGCCCAGCGTGGGCCAACCCGACGACGCCGCGTCATCAGCGCTGCGTCCCTCACCGCCGGGTGACAGCTGTTTGCAACCTAGCAACGCCGCGTCATCAGCGCTGCGACCTTCACTGCCGGACGACAGCTGGCTTCAACCTAGCATACCGCGTCATCAGCGCTGCGACCAGACAGTGAGGGCGCCATTCTTACTGTAACCAGCGCCGGGGCCGGCACATCGACCGACACGCAGGTGCCTTTGCTGCTCTGGCCAAAGGTTGGAGGTCGGGAGACCAGGCCCCTGACACTTCGTACATTTACGCGCTCCGGATGAATGATTTTTTTGTTGACATCCTCTTCGTTGTCGTCGGGGAGTCGTGATTGTTGTTGGGTAAACTGTGTGGAGCTTCGCTCGTGAGTGTTGTCAATGTGTGTGCGAAACTTTGCTTGTGATTGTTAACAATGTATGGTTTATATTGAGCTTTGTTCGTGATTGTTAATGTATAGCTTGTGCTGTCATTGTTAACGATGTATATACTGTATGGGGCATTTATCTTGAGATGGTGACATGCTGCCAAGGATTTGGAATTGTCATGCTGGCTCTCAAATATCTTGGGGTGCAGATCCTGACCAGGATGGCCCAGCGTGTGTTGCGTGTCTAACACGAGAGTTGTGGTCCCGTCATGCTATGGCTGACGGCTTGACCTGACAGCCCGGAGATAGAGACACTCCATGGCATGTCTAGCCTAGTGGGCTGTGTGCTCACATGGCTCGGAGAGTGTGGTCCCGTCATGCGATGGCTGACGGCTTGACCTGACAGCCCGGAGATTGAAACACTCCGTGGCATGTCTAGCCTAGTGGGCTGTGCGCTCACATGGCTCGGAGAGGGTGGTCCCGTCATGGAGTAGCTGACGACTTGACCTGACGGCCCGGAGGTTGAGACCCTCCGTGGTGCGTCTGGAGCAGTAGGCTCACCCTGACGGCCCGGAGGTTGAAACACTCCGAGGCGCGTTGAAACAGTGGGCTGGAGATTCGTGGTGTTCAGGTGTAGTTGTCCCGTTACGTTGGGACTGTATCCCTCAGTTGTTAGGGTGCATGTTGTGCAGGGAGTGAACGATGGGTCGTCTCAGATCGGTCGGTACAGCTATATGCTGCGATGCGAGTCTTGGAGAGAGATTGGGTTTCAGCTCGGTCGGTACAGCTATATGCTGCGATGCGAGTCTTGGAGAGAGATTGGGTCTCAGATCGGTCGGTACAGCTATATGCTGCGATGCGAGTCTTGGAGAGAGATTGGGTCTCAGCTCGGTCATTACAGCTATATGCTGCGATGCGAGTCTTGGAGAGAGGTTGGGTCTCAGATCGGTCGGTACAGCTATATGCTGCGATGCGAGTCTTGGAGAGAGATTGGGTCTCAGATCGGTCGGTACAGCTATATGCTGCGATGCGAGTCTTGGAGAGAGACTGGGTTTAAGCCCCCCGATATGGCCGACGTGCGCGGTTTTAGGATGGAGACGCCACGTTGGAAAGGCGGGGTGTGCAAACGGTTGACATGTAATGTCGGTTGTGGTCCTCATTGAGGGCTCCTGGGACGCAAGCACGGGATGCCTTTTGGAGATGCGGTTCGTGCGTGCGGCCACCATTTATGGACAGGAGCAGGCAGATTTATTTTGGTTGTGTCATGTAAATTTTATATATATATTTAAAAATGTAGATACTGGAGCAGCCCTGAAGTGCGACTTCTTTGCCCAGTACATGGGTCGGCCCTGAAGTACGACTTCTCGACCCGGGACGTAGACAGACATCCGGATAAGTGTGTGTAGAGGGATGCTCGACATGTTGGTCTTCGCCTTCTCTCCACCTGACGGATGGGAGGTTGGCAGGGTGGTGTGGAACCCTGCCATCCATGCGGTGGTTGTGCATCCAACGCGTCGGAATCTGTATATTTGTTGTTGTTAATTCCCCGTTTTCTATGCGGATCCCGAGGAGGGCTAGGTGTGCCGCGGGTCGTTTGTTCACGTGTCATTGCTTCACCTTTTTGTTGATTGATGCTTGTATATAGTGTAAAGTTGTACAGGTTGGTTATGGTTTTTATGGTTGCTTTGTTCTCTTTTCTTTTCCTGTTGAGGCTCGCGTATTTTTTTCTCTCTCTCCCTTTCGTTAATTTAAACTTTCTAATTATTGACAGCCGGGACGGCTGGAGGCTACGTAGAGGGGGGTAATGTAGTGACATAAGAAGGGAGGGGCTGCTGGGGGCTCTGGGACCTGGGTGGGCCAGGCGCTTAAGCCTCTGGGCGCCAGGCGTTGGGTTCTCAGGCGGGTCCAGACGCTTAAGCCTCTTGGCGCCGCCAACGGGGGGGG